TACCACAGTGGCTGGCATCAGTTGGCACCGTGCCACCGACCACCCGTCAACAGTGCAGGACACACGAGAGAGCAAATTACCCTCGTTGGTGCCCAATATTCTCGTAAATCTGTCACAGTGGTCCAACTGTAGCATAAGTGGGATTTCAAGAGGGTACGAGACATGACTGCTGAGAGAGATGATGGACGGTATATAACATCTCAAGTTATATACTGTCTTGTATAACTGGCCAGAGCTTTCTTTCGTGTTACTAAGCTCTATTTTAGTATAACCCATCTATACCATGTGTTATGTGACGAATCAGTGCTCTCTTTTGTTCCACAGAGCTGCTCTGTGTTCTGTGTGCCCTAGTTGTATTCAATCTTCTCTGCCCGAGGCTGGGGCAGCGTGTATGGGCATGTCATGGATGATTGTCTCAGCGTCAGGCAGGAACGTTGCCAGGGACGTCAGGTAGGAACGTTGACAGGGACGTCAGGCAGAAACGTTGGCAGGGACCTCCAGCAGAAACATTGGCAGGGACATCAGGCAGGAACGTTGGCAGGGACGTCAGGCAGCAACGTTGGCAGGGACCTTCAGCAGAAACATTGGCAGGGACATCAGGCAGGAACGTTGGCAGGGACGTCAGGCAGAAACGTTGGCAGGGACCCCAGGCAGAAACATTGGCAGGGACGTCAGGCAGCAACATTGGCAGGGACGTTAGGCAGCAACATTGGCAGGGACGTCAGGCAGAAACATTGGCAGGGACGTCAGGCAGAAACATTGGCAGGGACGTCAGGCAGCAACATTGGCAGGGACGTCAGGCAGCAACATTGGCAGGGACGTCAGGCAGCAACATTGGCAGGGACGTCAGGCAGCAACATTGGCAGGGACGTCAGGCAGAAACATTGGCAGGGACGTCAGGCAGAAACATTGGCAGGGACCTCAGGCAGAAACATTGGCAGTGACCTCAGGCAGAAACATTGGCAGGGACGTCAGGCAGAAACATTGGCAGGGACGTCAGGCAGAAACATTGGCAGGGACGTCAGGCAGAAACATTGGCAGGGACGTCAGGCAGCAACATTGGCAGTGACCTCAGGCAGAAACATTGGCAGGGACGTCAGGCAGAAACATTGGCAGGGACCTCAGGCAGAAACATTGGCAGTGACCTCAGGCAGAAACATTGGCAGGGACGTCAGGCAGCAACATTGGCAGGGACGTCAGGCAGAAACATTGGCAGGGACGTCAAGCAGAAACATTGGCAGGGACGTCAGGCAGCAACATTGGCAGGGACGTCAGGCAGAAACATTGGCACAGTCTGGTGTCACATTCGTCAAAATTAATGCGAGTTGAGCACCCTTAATTTCTTCAGTACCTCAGTAATTAGTCTCAACAGGATCCTCAATTTATTTTTCTCGTAATGGGTGTCCGCGTCTACGTTATGGTTCTCATTATTTACAACGCCAAAAAAATAACTTAATAAACCTATGATATATATTATGTAAACGATGATTAATTACCGAGAATCTGACCTATGTTTCGTTTGGCCTATAAATTATTTGAGACCAACATCAGGCGACTCGATGTTTAGTGAGATATACGTATGTTTAAGTGTTACTTTCTCATCTGTCTCTCTCTCTCTCTCTCTCTCTCTCTCTTCTCTCTCTCTTTCTCTCTCTCTCTCTTCTCTCTCTCTCTTCTCTCTCTCTCTCTCTCTCTCTCTCTCTCTCTCTCTCTCTTCTCCTCTCTCTCTCTCTCTCTCTCTCTCTCTCTCTCTCTCTTCTCTCGTCTCTCTCTCTCTCTCTCTCTCTCTCTTCTCTCTCTCTTCTCTCTCTTCTCTCTCTCTCTCTCTCTCTCTCTCTCTCTCTTTCTCTCTTCCTCTCTCTCTCTCTCTCTCTCTCTCTCTCTCTCTCTCTCTCTCTCTCTCTCTTCTCTCTCTCTCTCTCTCTGTCTCTCTCTGTCTCTCTGTCTCTCTGTCTCTCTCTCTCTCTCTCTCCTCTCTCTCTCTCTCTCTCTCTCTCTCTCTGTCTCTCTCTGTCTCTCTCTCTGTCTCTCTCTCTCTCTCTCTCTCTCTCTCTCTCTCTCTCTATATATATATATATATATATATATATATATATATATATATATATATATATATATATATATATATGTCGCTCTTCTTGCCGAGTAAGACAAGCGAAAATTTGTGTATGCAATAATTTCGCTAAAATCACTCTGAACCTACCGAAAAATATATATTTCATTGTTTATTATCTACAACATATTACTTGAACCCCAATGGAAATAAGTCACTCTGTCTGACTTTTTTGGTTATCCCAGGTTCTCTACACATATGCTGCTATGTATGATAATCTATGTAACTGTATTTGTGTATATCTGAATAAACTTACTTACTTGGATTAGGGTAAATTAAATTTGGGTTGTTATAATAAGGTTAGGTAAGTTTTCTAAGGTTCCTTTGGTATAAAATTATTAATTTTTACATTAACATAAATTAAAAATATATATCTTTAAACGTATAAGAGAAAATTTTAGAAGAGACTTAATTTTAAATGAGTTCTTGCTAATTGACCAGTTTTACCTATTCGGCACGACATATATATATAATTTTCTGAAATCATTTACAGATGTATACATGTATTGAGGCCATGTTAAACAAACTTAGGCCAGTAAGGTTCAGTTGAACAGTGAGAGGCCACATATGAACCCCTTGCTAGGTTACCGAGACTTGTAAACAGAAGGAACCTTGAAGAACCCTGAAGGCCAAGTGTGATTGGTTTATTAGGCTTAAAACCTAATAAACCAATAACACATAAAACTGCATATCACCAGCAGTCTAGAAAGCTTTAATCCCTAGAGCAAGGTCTACATTTAACTCTCAAACAGATATACACTGGAGATATACTTCTCACGGAGTGACGTTCAACTTTGAGATATACTTCTCACGGAGTGACGTTCAACTTTGAGATATACTTCTCACGGAGTGACGTTCAACTTTGAGATATACTTCTCACGGAGTGACGTTCAACTTTGAGATATACTTCTCACGGAGTGACGTTCAACTTTGAGATACACTTCTCACGGAGTGACGTTCAACTTTGAGATATACTTCTCACGGAGTGACGTTCAACTTTGAGATATACTTCTCACGGAGTGACGTTTCAACTTTGAGATATACTTCTCACGGAGTGACGTTCAACTTTGAGATATACTTCTCACGGAGTGACGTTCAACTTTGAGATACACTTCTCACGGAGTGACGTTCAACTTTGAGATACACTTCTCACGGAGTGACGTTCAACTTTTCGATCTCCTAGAATAACTCCTCATCATCTTTCATATTACAATACCCTCCTAGGTGGAAACTATATTTAAAAATTTATAATTATTTGTTTTCCTCGTGAAATATTAGATAAAATCTCTATAAAATAATGATTTTAGGTCAGGTCACGCACCTCCCCGCGGTGACGTTCATTATATAGGTTAGTTATACCTGCTGTAGCTCGGTTATACCTGCTGTAGCTCAGTTATACCTGCTGTAGCTCAGTTATACCCGCTGTAGCTCGGTTATACCTGCTGTAGCTCAGTTATACCTGCTGTAGCTCAGTTATACCTGCTGTAGCTCAGTTATACCCGCTGTAGCTCGGTTATACCTGCTGTAGCTCAGTTATACCCGCTGTAACTCAGTTATACCCGCTGTAACTCGGTTATACCCGCTGTAACTCGGTTATACCCGCTGTAACTCGGTTATACCCGCTGTAGCTCAGTTATACCTGCTGTAGCTCAGTTATACCTGCTGTAGCTCAGCTATACCTGCTGTAGCTCAGCTATACCTGCTGTAGCTCAGCTATACCTGCTGTAGCTCAGCTATACCTGCTGTAGCTCAGCTATACCTGCTGTAGCTCAGCTATACCTGCTGTAGCGGCCATGTAATGTGTTCTTGTGGTACTAGCTTTGTATTTTTGTCTCTCTATCTATCTATCTATCTCAGGGGACGCATCTACCTTCCTATATTTCTCCTTCCTTGTCTCTCTCTCCCTCCTTATCTCTCTCCCTCCCTATCTCAGGGAACGCAGCATAACTGCCAGGGTGCGTTGATATGAGAAGTAGGCTTACCAAGGTTTCCGTAAATAGCCGGGTGTGTCGGTAGAGGTATAGTATATATATGAGCAGTGAACGTCATTCTTAGGGGATACATTGTGGCTCTGTCAGTCAGTGAGGAGTCTAGCTGACGACACTCAGTATCTCGGGAAGTCTGGGACTGTAAGTGTTACGTTGACGTCAGTACTGTCATAGTTCGTTGTCATCAACGTCTTGTAGCGTTAAATTTCCCTAATGTGTGTCACTGTACGTTTTCATCGACGTTTAGTGACATTGACCTCCGAACTTTAGGCTTCTATGCGTTTCCACCAACGTTTTGCAACGCGCGGAGAAACATCTAAGCTCACTAAGTATTCGACATTAGTAAGAGCTCTGGGAACCTTTTGTTCGCTAGCAAAATACTGTGAAAGTGATATGAATAATACCTTAAAGCCATCGATTCTACCGTCGGAAAAATACACAAAATAATACGATCCTTTGACTAAGTTTCTCTCACACAATAGGCTTTATTAGGTCACAAACAGATCTGTCTGTGACTTGATAAAGCCCACTGTGTGGGCGAAACACAGCCAATAAAGAATAGCATTTACAAATTTTATTGCATAAATTTGTCTGTGAGTTTCCTTGCAAGAATTTGTGAATGCTTCTTTGATTGGTTTAAAATCTTCAACGCTGGTGTTAACTGTGTTAAAAGTTTATGCCATATTCTGTACTACTGCGTGTACTGAGGTAGAGTGGACTTGGTTTAGGAAATACAAGGATAGCTTTCTCGTACTGCGCAACAACCAAAACATATCCAGTTATTGTTGATTTTCCTTTCACAGGACTGAACCAGGAGCAGCAGGTTCTCATGTTCACTGTATGCTGAATCTCATATTGGTTTATAATTGTACTCTAATAAATTTTACTTTTATTTACAGGAGTTAAAACCTAATCATGTGCGACGATGACGCTACAGCTCTGGTCTGCGACAATGGCTCCGGCATGGTCAAGGCCGGCTTCGCTGGTGACGACGCTCCCCGCGCCGTCTTTCCTTCCATCGTCGGCCGTCCTCGTCACCAGGGTGTGATGGTCGGTATGGGACAGAAGGACGCCTACGTAGGTGATGAGGCCCAGAGCAAGAGAGGTATCCTGACTCTCAAGTACCCCATCGAACACGGCATCATTACCAACTGGGACGACATGGAGAAAATCTGGCATCATACATTCTACAACGAGCTGCGTGTTGCCCCTGAAGAGTCCCCTGTCCTCCTCACTGAGGCTCCCCTCAACCCTAAGGCCAACCGTGAGAAGATGACACAGATCATGTTTGAGACTTTTAGTGCTCCAGCCATGTACGTGGCTATCCAGGCCGTGTTGTCCCTGTACGCCTCTGGTCGTACCACAGGTATCGTGTTGGACTCTGGTGATGGTGTTACTCACACTGTTCCCATCTACGAAGGTTATGCTCTTCCACACGCTATCATGCGTCTCGATCTAGCTGGCCGAGACTTGAGTGACTACCTCATGAAGATCATGACTGAGCGTGGCTACTCCTTCACCACCACAGCTGAGCGTGAGATTGTCCGTGACGTCAAGGAGAAGCTTTGCTATGTTGCCCTTGATTTCGAGAATGAAATGGCTCAGGCAGCTGCATCTACTTCCCTGGACAAGTCCTACGAGCTTCCCGATGGTCAGGTCATCACCATTGGTAATGAGCGTTTCCGTGCTCCTGAAGCTCTCTTCCAGCCTTCCTTCCTGGGTATGGAATCTGCTGGTGTACACGAGACCGTCCACAACTCCATCATGAGGTGCGACATTGACATCAGGAAGGATCTGTTCGCCAACATTGTCATGTCTGGTGGTACCACCATGTACCCTGGTATTGCTGACCGCATGCAGAAGGAAATCACTAACTTGGCTCCCTCCACCATCAAGATCAAGATCATTGCTCCTCCCGAGCGTAAGTACTCCGTCTGGATCGGTGGTTCCATCCTGGCCTCACTGTCCACCTTCCAGTCCATGTGGATCACCAAGGAGGAGTATGACGAGTCCGGCCCCGGCATCGTCCACCGCAAGTGCTCTTGATCTCTCGTGTAATATCTGTTGACCTTTACTATTTATCACTGCAAATAAACTTTCCTTATATTTGTCCTTTCCTTAGTTTAAATTTTCATCTGATATAATACAATGCATACACAATAAGAGCCGTGTGTCTCTCGTAGTATCAGAACATAATGGAAGAACACTGTGGCAATCCTACTGACACTAAGCAGATATTTCTCAAATCCAACATTTCCCATCCACACATTTACCCAACCTATCCCCAAAGCTTACCAAGAAGTTAGCTTCAATACCTCAGGTACCAATCAAACCTAACCCTTCTCGTATATTTTTTTAACACCCAAAGGTTTTAGCTTCAATAACCCTGTTTAGCAGATTGATCCACTCATCAACAACTGTAAAAGGACAGCCACAGTTAGCAGATGGGATCATAAACTTTCTCAGTAACTTTTTCTCTGTGACAGAGAACTGATCCTTCACTATTAATATTAGGAATTAAAATATCTCTGGTGTTGATGTTTATGTAGATAAATTTATTTATGTAGGAGCTTATAAATTAGAAAAAAACAGTTATTGGTAAATTATAAACTGTTTCAGAGATTTCTTGAAACGAAAATAACCCAGGAACTTTATTACGAAAATAACCCAGTAACTTTATTACGAAAATAACCCAGGAACTTTATTACGAAAATAACCCAGGAACTTTATTACGAAAATAACCCAGGAACTTTTTTACGAAAATAACCCAGGAACTTTTTTACGAGAATAACCCAGGAACTTTATTACGAGAATAACCCAGCACCTTTATTACGAAAATAACCCAGCAACTTTATTACGAAAATAACCCAGCAACTTTATTACGAAAATAACCAGCAAACTTTATTACGAAAATAACCCAGGAACTTTATACGAATACCAGGAACTTTATTACGAAAATAACCCAGGAACTTTATTACGAAAATAACCCAGGAACTTTATTACGAAAATAACCCAGGAACTTTATTACGAAAAGTAGTAATATCGGGACGATGTTGCCTAACAAAAATCTATATTAATTTGTTAATTACTTTTCCACTAAATAATTTTTGGATATTCCAGCCTTTTTTTTTCACAGCACTTTGTAACCCGTATGAGTTTGGCGCATTTTGTGAATATAAAACTGATAATCCAACTATATAATATGGCCCTTACGAATTTAGCGTTTTCCCATGAAGATAATTTGAAAACGTTGACGTGACATTTATTTTCTAGCAATAATGTAAGTCGGGAGTTGACATGGACCTGCCTTGCATGGGCCAGTAGGCCTCCTACAGTGTTCCTTCTTATGTTTTTATGTTTTATTTTTGTCTGTCAAGTGCGCATAGCATGACATGTGAGAACAATGATCACTGTTATAGGTAGATAATTCAATTATAGAGTTGTTATGGTGGTATTTTAGTGTAATTATAGTGTGACTGTAGTTAATACAACTGCTAGAGATGTGAAGTATCTTATAATTCACTAAATTAAAATCATCCATACAGAGAAATGCTGTATGATGAGCTAGTGTGCTGGGAGCCAGGATGTGCTGGGAGCCAGGATGTGCTGGGAGCCAGGATGTGCTGGGAGCCAGTGTGCTGGGAGCCAGGATGTTTTGGGTACCAGCATGTGCCGGGAACCAGAGAGCGCTGGGAGCCAGGATGTGCTGGAAGCCAGGATGTACTGGGAGCCAGTGTGCTGGGAGCCAGGATGTTTTGGGTACCAGCGTGTGCTGGGAGCCAGGATGTGCTGGGAGCCAGGATGTGCTGGGAGCCAGGATGTGCTGGGAGCCAGGATGTGCTGGGAGCCAGGATGTGCTGGGAGCCAGGATGTGCTGGGAGCCAGGATGTGCTGGGAGCAGTGTGCGGGAGCCAGATGTTGGGACCAGCGGTGGTGGACCAGATTGCTGGGCTAGATGTCCCGGAGCTAGGATGTGCTGGGAGCCAGAGTGTGCTGGGAGCCAGGATGTGCTGGGAGCCAGGATGTGCTGGGAGCCAGAGAGTGCCGGCCCTACTGATGACAGCGGCAAATGCTCCCAAGTCACACTGACGTGTTAAGGATCATCATCCTGCCAAGTAGCGGAAAATGAACACTCATACAGTAAGAACCTTACATAACTCATCTCTCTCATGCGTAGTGCTCGAAATGCTTTTGTTACACTGCCTCAGTATTTCTGTCTCCGCAGGTCTCCAGCGTCAATGCATAACCCGCTGGCTAACAAGCTCACTCTGGGGAAGTTTCAATATCCATCAGCATCTGACGCCCATCCTGTCAGCCATTATTCAACATCGCGTTCTTGGCAGTGAAATGGACATCTGAAATACATATACGGCTGTGTCAACCGAGCCAGATATTATATTAATTGTGGCAGGGATGTTCAGGTGCCACTTGGTAGTGAAGAGCCGGAGTTGAGTGTTGGGGAGGTGTGGCAGCCTGCATTGTGGTGCGCAGCGTCCACTGGGCTTGACTTCAACTAACTGGTCTTGAGTTCGACTCTCACCACGACAAGATAACGGCAGCGTAATAAGCACTCATATGTTACATCCTTAACTGTGCACGTGTTGTGAAATAACAGTCATAGCGAGTGTTTTAGAAAAAAAATGGTGAATGTATGCTTTAAAATTAACAGTGAATATTCATTATGCCTGTAGAGTCAAGCTGGTTGGGTGTTGCATTTTAACATGATATGAAAGAGTTAGTGTATCACGTGGTGTGTGTGTGTGTGTGTGTATATTATGTGTGGTGTGTGTGTGTGTGTGTGTGTGTGTGTGTGTGTGTGTGTGTGGTGCTGTGTTGCCCTCAGCTTTATTCTCCCTTAGATACGATTGTTGGTGCATGTTGTTGGTGTGTGCTGACACACTAACTGACTTGCATATCATCCTTTGCTCCGCGGAGCGACGAAGTTCATATCCATATCACAAACTCCTTGTGCTTTCATAGATCTAGTAAGCCAGAGCTTCATTCTTTATCAGTTTTTTTTACCCACGTGTGTGATGGTATAATAAGGTCTTTGTGGCTAAATCCACAGAGTTACGTTGATATGTCCCATCTTCAGTACATGATTCAAGGAAGGAAGGGTACTCTAAACCCTGGGATAAAAACACCTTTCACAGTGATCAGTGCATCCTCCCTCGCTTGAAGGCATTCTAAATATATTAAAAAGTTCTATTCAGAGCAGGTGATGGTCAGTGAATAGTACTTGTATGGTATATGAACACTTCAAATGCACAGGAGAATTTTCAGAAGCTCAGGGAAAAATTGTGAGCAAATTACAAAGCACTCACATAGTGTGAGAACATAAAGCATATGTCTATGGCAACGGTTTTCTTGTGTGAGATCGAAAGTAGCAGTGACTCTTGTTAGAAAGATCAAAGATGCAAAAACAGGTCATTTTATATAAAGTGTTTGTACATAAAGTATGAAACTCGTATGTTTAGAGCATTATAAACGTTTTACTAAAATCGTTAACATTTTGTTTATGTAGCTGTAAATACAATTATTTTTTAATTCCACAGCTAACATCATAATACACTATGTGTGACGACGACGCTACAGCGCTGGTTTGCGACAATGGTTCTGGTCTCTGCAAGGCCGGCTTCGCTGGTGACGACGCTCCCCGAGCCGTCTTTCCTTCCATCGTCGGCCGTCCTCGTCACCAGGGTGTGATGGTCGGTATGGGTCAGAAGGACGCCTACGTCGGTGATGAGGCCCAGAGCAAGAGAGGTATCCTGACTCTCAAGTACCCCATCGAACACGGTATCATCACCAACTGGGACGACATGGAGAAGATCTGGCATCACTCTTTCTACAACGAGCTGCGTGTTGCCCCTGAGGAGTGCCCTGTCCTCCTCACTGAGGCTCCTCTCAACCCCAAGGCCAACCGTGAGAAGATGACACAGATCATGTTTGAGACCTTCAGTACTCCTGCAATGTACGTGGCCATCCAGGCCGTGTTGTCCCTGTACGCCTCTGGTCGTACCACAGGTATCGTGTTGGATTCTGGTGATGGTGTTACTCACACTGTTCCCATCTACGAAGGTTATGCTCTTCCACACGCTATTATGCGCCTGGACCTTGCTGGTCGTGACCTGACCAACTACCTCATGAAGATCATGACTGAGCGTGGCTACTCCTTCACCACCACAGCTGAGCGTGAGATTGTCCGTGACATCAAGGAGAAGCTTTGCTATGTTGCCCTTGATTTCGAGAATGAAATGGCTCAGGCAGCTGCCACAGCATCATTAGAGAAGTCCTACGAGCTTCCCGATGGGCAGGTAATTACTATTGGTAATGAGCGTTTCCGTGCCCCTGAGGCTCTCTTCCAGCCTTCTTTCCTGGGCATGGAATCTGTTGGTGTTCACGAGACCGTCCACAGCTCCATCATGAGGTGCGACATTGATATCAGAAAGGATCTATACGCCAACAATGTCATGTCTGGTGGTACCACCATGTACCCTGGTATTGCTGACCGCATGCAGAAAGAAATCACATCATTAGCTCCTTCCACCATCAAGATCAAGATCATTGCTCCTCCCGAGCGTAAGTACTCCGTCTGGATCGGTGGTTCCATCCTGGCCTCACTGTCCACCTTCCAGTCCATGTGGATCACTAAGGAGGAGTATGAGGAGTCCGGCCCCGGCATCGTCCACCGCAAGTGCTTCTAAATCACGTTTAAATTTTATTAACAAACTAAAGCAAATACAGCTTTATTATAAATCACATCAAAGAAGAAGGCGCGTTTGCAGCAAGTACATTTACTGGGACAACTTTTCGATTTGTTAGGAACTGTATTAAACTCGCACAGAGGACAAATTACACTCATACATAAATAGTGGTAAAAAGAAGGTGAGAATCATTTTCATTACTGTCTGTTACTTGAATCCAATCTATCAGATAATGCAGCAACATCTAGCTTTTATTCAGAGTAAGTACCACGCTGCTCCTAGAAGTCTGCTGTCTTCGAAGCAGACGTTATTTTCACAAAAAATCATCGAAGAAATGGTATGCACTTCTGTTCATCCCACACAATTTATCTTTCTTCCCTTTCCTCCAACACCACTCCAGTGTTACCTTGAAGAGTGTGTCACCACACTGTCCAAACTATGTCACGGAAGCCTTTCAATAAAGCTAGGCAAATGAGACTTAGCCTCCGCTGTAAAGTCGATGAACGCACGGAGGAACACAAGAAATGTCAGCCTTCAGAGTCAACGAATACCAGAAAAGGAATCTGGAGCAGAAACTCCACTGGATCTACTCTCACAGCACCTGAAAGAAGACTGTACAGATTCAGCAACTTCTCCAGCTTGGGTATACTCACATGAGTGACTGTGTGGTACCTGTTGCTCTCTTGGAGCCTTCCATATCTAAATTACCTATACGCCATGATACAGAGACATTCTTGGCAATACAATTGTACAGGAAGAGGACAAAACATTTCGTCCAAGAACCAGACGGCATTTCAACATAGCAGTTCAGAGTACCTCCTAGAGTACTCCACAGTGTACATCCCGCAGTACTCCACAATGTACCTCTGACAGAACTCACAACAGACCAACACTTCACTCTCCAACGACTTCACTCACCTCTCCTCTTCCTCTCCTACCAGTGTATGTATACCTGCAATTTATATCCCCTACCTGACTTAATAAAGTTCTTAACAGATCTAAACCTTGTCCCAATAAAAACTCTTCTTGCAAACTTATTTTTAACTATTTACAGCAGTAAGTTATTTGGATCCATACCATTAGTGATGATCATCTGTCAGTATTGTGCTGGAAAATACGGACTACTGTTATAAGCATATTCATGGTGTTCCTTAAGTCTGTGCTCGAAATAATTTGCACAACACTCCCATCATCAGTAATTATTCGTTTCTGGGCGATTATTTAGTTGGGTAATGGAGCTTAAAAACAACACTGGGGCTTTTAAGGCTACGTAACACTTGTTCAACACCAGTCAAAAATGCTTTAATTTCTATAATAAGGGACTAAAGTAAACTCTCAGTATATATACGCTAAGAGACATACGCATCACAGTGCGTATATCCTATGAGAAAATTTTCATCATGTAACACAGTGCCAGACACGACTAGGGAAGTACAAGTGGCAGCACTGACTAGGTACAGCAGTAGGGCTGAGAAAGACGTACTAAGTGATAGTAACGAAGGAAGACAGGCCACAGGCATCAGTGCTGAGGAAGACAGACCACAGGTATCAGTGCTGAGGAAGACAGACCACAGGTATTAGTGCTGAGGAAGACAGACCACAGGTATCAGTGCTGAGGAAGACAGACCACAGGTCTCAGTGCTGAGGAAGACAGACCACAGGTATCAGTGCCGAGGAAGACAGACCACAGGTATCAGTGCTGAGGAAGACAGACCACAGGTATCAGTGCCGAGGAAGACAGACCACAGGTATCAGTGCTGAGGAAGACAGACCACAGGTATCAGTGCTGAGGAAGACAGACCACAGGTATCAGTGCCGAGGAAGACAGACCACAGGTATCAGTGCCGAGGAAGACAGACCACAGGTATCAGTGCCGAGGAAGACAGACCACAGGTATCAGTGCTGAGGAAGACAGACCACAGGTATCAGTGCTGAGGAAGACAGACCACAGGTATCAGTGCTGAGGAAGACAGACCACAGGTATCAGTGCTGAGGAAGACAGACCACAGGTATCAGTGCTGAGGAAGACAGACCACAGGTATCAGTGCTGAGGAAGACAGACCACAGGTCTCAGTGCTGAGGAAGACAGACCACAGGTCTCAGTGCTGAGGAAGACAGACCACAGGTATCAGTGCTGAGGAAGACAGACCACAGGTATCAGTGCTGAGGAAGACAGACCACAGGTATCAGTGCTGAGGAAGACAGACCACAGGTATCAGTGCTGAGGAAGACAGACCACATGTATCAGTGCTGAGGAAGACAGACCACAGGTATCAGTGCTGAGGAAGGCAGACCACAGGTATCAGTGCTGAGGAAGACAGACCACAGGTATCAGTGCTGAGGAAGACAGACCACAGGTATCAGTGCTGAGGAAGACAGACCACAGGTATCAGTGCTGAGGAAGACAGACCACGGGTATCAGTGCTAAGGAAGACAGGCTACAAGCAACATTTAATAGGTTAGTTGTCTTGAACCAATGGGATGCACAACGATAATTCACCTGTCAACCATCAATTATATAATATACGTAAAACTTGCAATTTTTGCTTAAATAGCAGCGCTCTTGCCGAATAAGTCGAGCTAAAATTTATGTATGCAGTAACTTCGCAAAAATCATTCTGAGCCTGAAGAAAAATATATTTCATTGTGTTTGCTTATTATTAAATTATTGTAAACTTAACTAAAATATATTTAGTTGGATTAGGCTAAATTAAATTACGCTTGTTATAATAAGGTTAGGTAAGTTTTTTAAGGTTCTTTTGGTACAAAATTATTAATTTTTACATTAACATAAATGAAAAAAAATATATCTTTAAACATTTAAGAGAAAATTTTAGAAAGGACTTAATTTTAAATGACTTCTTGCTAATTGACCAGTTTTACCTATTCTGCACGACATTCCAAGTATCAACTGACAATTAAACAGACGAAGACTTGTTGCAAAACACACTAATATCGAGACAACATTTCCTGTTAGTTTTATTAAGCAGAATTATAGAGTTCTACACAGAGTGAAACGTAGTTACAACACAAGTCTCTTCTGAAACACGTCTTTTTTCAATTATTAATATTATAATCAAAAGAAAGCGCTAAAATTCTTCTTGTTTTCAAGAGTTGGTCGATTTGTTGGGATTTAAAGCGCATCAGCAATGCGCTAGGATCAGTAACACCGTGTATCTGGGATAAGGGCTCATACAGCAAGAGCCGTCGTAGCCCTTAGAAAGTTACAACAACAACGCTGCTGACATGAACCCGTAACACTTGAATCCATAAAACACTGATTAAATTGTGTTTCTAGAGAATATACTGAGAGATATACCATACCTCATGTATTTTATATATTAAATGACAATGCACTTTATAAAAATCTGTAAATAAAATAATATGTAATTGCGGAATCGTGTTGGAGTGTCGATTCTTAATCGGATTTGCGACTGAGTGCACGAATGTGGGACTGAAACGTTTCTGGTATAGGTAGCGATGTTTTGCTTGTCAGAAGAAATGGTAGCAAGATTTCTCATGATATAGGAAACTCCAGAATCTCTGTTCAATGATCTCCCAGACGGGAACAGTCCCTCGACCTGACTATGGCTGGGGTCCTGATGATGGTCTCTTGAGTATTCGACCATATGACCGAGGTCTCCCTCAGGCTTACCAGTTTACCCTTTAAAAATTATATATCACATATTTAGGGATGGTTACTTGGATTTAAATCCTTTCGGCTACGCAAGGGTCATTAGGGCTATATGTAACTTGTGCACTGCCAGTCAAGAATAATTTACTGCCTAAATTAGGGATTAAAGTGCCTCGGAACTGGATTTATCCTCCGTTTTTGGTCCGAAACTAAATGCCTCCTATACCCCAGTCGTTATATGAGTGCTACGGGCTTAGCGCTTCCCACCAGTCCGCCCATTGACGTAGTGGCCAGCCAAGTTATGTACCTTCCTATCAGGCCACTCTACCAACCCACATCCCCCTTATCTTCCCGTCCAGCGCTGTACCTCCCCCCTACACCCTTAAGTTCTCCCGTCTCCTCCCGGCCCTACCCACCTCCCCTCCAGTTACTTGCCCTCTTGAAACATATATGGGCCGGTTTCCTCTTGGCGCTTATATATAATAACCCTCTTGTCAGTGATGGCTCGCCACCAGTGCCACACCGAGGGCGACGCTGCCGGGACCTGCTGACGAAGCCAGGACTACCGAACCAAACCAACGGGTTCGGCTTCATAACCGTATTAGAGGTGCAAAGTGAAACACTACCGACCTTTTTTTTAAGAAGGTTATGGAGCTGAGATCCTGTACTACGAGAATCTGTGCTAGAGACTCCACCTATTGTTAATATGTATGTTTATTAGATAAGTTAGTAGCTGAAGAGCGGTGCTAGCTGTTGAGGGGATGACCGGCTGGACAACAGAAGCACAGCTTACCGTGAGCTCGGAGTTGGACATTGAGACTAGAAATTACCGAGAACTCGGGGCTGACAACAGCACCAGGGCTCACCTAGAACCCGGACTGAGCTGTAACTCTCAGAGTTCCGAAACAAGCCTTATTTATCCCCTCCACACTGAAAAGCTTTGCCCCTACCCCTTTTCAGAAGAAACATTACTGTGACTCGTTGTTACGTAACTTATCAAACACATATATAACGTATCGTTGTGTCAACATTCGCCAATCGAATCAACTTCATGAATCATTACAGCAACAATATACATTACCCACAAGACACATGTGCAGAATTTGGGTATCTTGAAGACGTTTCGCCAGCCAGTAACTAAAATAAAAGTAGAAGATGAGGAACTCAGTCCCTGAGGGACTGATTACCTCATATCCTACTGTATTTACATATCTCTGTATTGAACTGATAAAGCCACTCCTTGGGTATACATCATCAAATAAAAGATACGCAGGTGTTGCACATATATCTAATTTCTCATCTACACGTATAGTGTAACGTGACTTTCAGTAGACCTTAGGCCTTCATTTAGTAACCTTCAGAAAGTACATAGCTCCAATTACGTTACCATATAGTTACCCTGTGGACAAACTTCAAAGTGGGATAACAAGGTTGTTGGTATTTAAATGGTATTTCCCGGTGTTACCTTACTGAGGTCCCATGTAATATTCAGTCTTGGTTATACATCCGTGGGTGATGCACTATATCCAGTGGTTCTTATGATATTTAATATCCTAGTGTGGTACAGTGTAATTTACTGTGATAGTTACATACTAAACATTCTCTGGTGGCTCTCAGTTTGGTATACTGTGTTACAGTACTAAACATTCTCTGGTGGCTCTCAGTGTGGTATACTGTGTTACAATACTAAACATTCTCTGGTGGCTCTCAGTGTGGTATACTGTGTTACAATACTAAACATTCTCTGGTGGCTCTCAGTGTGGTATACTGTGTTACAATACTAAACATTCTCTGGTGGCTCTGTGTGGTATACTGTGTTACAATACTAAACATTCTCTGGTGGCTCTCAGTTTGGTATACTGTGTTACAATACTAAACATCCCATGATGGTCCTCAATGAAAAAGTATTTATTAAAGTACGTATTATCTGAAGACAGAATTAAGTCAAAGTTTTAATCCTCAATGCAAAGACTATTATTATTATTTTCAATTATTATTATTATCATTATTATTATTTTTTTGTTGTTGTTGATGTTAAATTGTTAAACATTACGAAAGAAATAGTTCTGTTAATGTTAATAAAGCTGAAGTATGTGCTACATGAGACGGATAGAGTAGACATAAATGTTATTTTTCTTTGTGTTACGTTGTGCTCGTTTGACTTTAAAAAATCCGGCATATGTAAAAACTATAATACTTTTACAGCTTTGATCGTCATCCAAATGTGCGATGACGATTCAACACCTCTGGTCTGCGACAATGGCTCCGGCATGGTCAAGGCCGGCTTCGCTGGTGACGACGCTCCCCGCGCCGTCTTTCCCTCCATCGTCGGCCGTCCTCGTCACCAGGGTGTGATGGTCGGTATGGGTCAGAAGGACGCCTACGTCGGTGATGAGGCCCAGAGCAAGAGAGGTATCCTGACTCTCAAGTACCCCATCGAACACGGCATCATCACCAACTGGGACGACATGGAGAAGATCTGGCATCATACATTCTACAACGAGCTGCGTGTTGCCCCTGAGGAGTCCCCTGTCCTCCTCACTGAGGCTCCCCTCAACCCCAAGGCCAACCGTGAGAAGATGACACAGATCATGTTCGAGACCTTCACTACTCCAGCTATGTACGTGGCCATCCAGGCCGTGCTTGTCCCTGTACGCCTCTGGTCGTACCACAGGTATCGTGTTGGACTCTGGTGATGGTGTTACTCACACTGTTCCCATCTACGAAGGTTATGCTCTTCCACACGCTATCATGCGTCTCGATTTAGCTGGCCGAGACTTGAGTGACTACCTCATGAAGATCATGACTGAGCGTGGCTACTCCTTCACCACCACAGCTGAGCGTGAGATTGTCCGTGACATCAAGGAGAAGCTTTGTTATGTCGCTCTTGATTTCGAGAATGAGATGGCTCAAGCGCTGCGTCGACCTCTCTTGAGAAGTCTACGAGCTTCCCGATGGTCAGGTCATTACCATTGGTAACGAGCGTTTC